TGGTTGCAGCCGTCATGGTTGTTTTGGCGCGCCTGAGCTGGATTTGAACCTGCCACCTTAGGTGTATGTGTCTGGCGCCTTAGCCACTTGAGCCACAGGCACCCAGCCATTATATTCAATTTGTTAAAATTACTTTGACTAATATTTATACTGGCTTATGACCAAAGTGGTATATTTTATAATATTATTATAAAAAAAATTCTTAGACTTAGTGTCTCTTGAATTATGAATTCTTAGTGAATATATAATTACAAGTACATTAAATTACTTCACAGATACATTATTTTCTAAATTGATTTGAGGTTAAATTGATTTGAATATTTTAAGAATTCAAAAAATCAGAACCTAAGTGAAAACCTTCATTTTTCAATCATACCTCAAAATCCACATCGCCAAAACAGCCACATGTTGCACAAGGACCAACAATTTTCAAAATATCTTCTTTGTTTGCATTTTGGATTGTGAATTTAGGCAGAAATGGGTCCCACTTCTGTGCAACATAACCAACTATCGTACCAGGAGGAGCTTGAATTTCTAACTGTAAGAAGAGATAATAATCAAATAAGATTTTCTTGTTACTATATTTTAATGTTACTATAATATCAATTTATCTCTAAACAGGTTAGATATACAATTATTTTCATAGTCTACAAATCATCCTAAATATCTGCTTTTAAGAAAATAAAGCAGGTGGCTTTTTCTTTTTTTCTATTTACTAGAAGCGAATTCATCTTATAGATAAATGTTTGGCACTGTGCACTAAAAGACTGTGTCTTGTTTTGCCTAAGGAGATTCTTCCCCAGGGCTGTCTTCTGACTCTGGAACATTGGATTTTTTGCCATTTTATGCCAAGTTCAACAGTTTATCAACCATTGACACTGTTGCACATGTACTTCCTCTTATCTACTTCCTCTCAATCGCAGCCACAACATCTATCTATCTTAAGTCTCCTTTACCAGTTACTGAGTGTGCGTGAGTTTTTCTTTTCATATTGTTAACTTCCAGTTTCTCTGTGTGTAATTAAAAACAAATGCTTTTTTCAGTCATTGTACACTAGTTTAATTGCAGTTACATGTGTGCCAAAGTATTATAGACTAGCAGCTGTATTTTGCATTTTTAGTCATAACTTTAGAATTTGACCCCATTATTCTTATATAAGCCAAACCAAATCTGATCTATCACCTGATTTTAATTTTCTTAGTAAGCTTATAGTCTCATGTGTATATCTGTAGCATCCTTAGACAAAGATGGTTTCAGCTAGATTGCATAGAATTATATTTACTTGTTCTGAGACCACTTTTAAAGTACATGATTTGATTTTGACTAAGTCTTAAAAAGTTACTAATGGATATTATGATGACATATCTTATGTTTCATTTGTGACACTGGGTTACTATTAAATAAAACGTTGATTATCAGACATTTTCAAATGGCCACGTAGTCTATAATTACACTGATTATACCATCTTGGGGCATACTAACATTAAATATTTTCAGTAGGTGGAGGGAAATTCTTGGGTTCCATGTATGAGTACTTGAGACATCTTATCACTGGGTGCCCACCTATAAATAGTCAGAAAATTAGCTTCAATATATACTGTTAGAAATGTCCTTAATGGAGGGCAGAGGGAGTTGGCAAACTAGAGACAGCCTCTTTGCAACTGGGTGCAGTGAGATTTGGGAGAGAAGACTCCAGGGACTTCTGGCTTGTGGGATCTACCCAGAAATATCCCTTTCGGGGCACAGCAAGGCAGCAGGAGACTTCAGTACCCCAAGAGAAGGACAAAAGCAGTGGAGAAGTGGCAAGTGTTTGCAATCAGTCAGAGCCCAGCTGGCCATGGTGGCTGCAGTGGCAGCAGCTATGGCAGCAGTGAGAATTTACAGACAGGGAAGGACTTCCTGTGGGGTTTTTTGGATTTGGACATTTGGTTGAGTTACCTTGGAAGACCTTGGGTGAGTGAGCAAGTAACTTTGAACAGCACTCTGAGGCTGGGACTGAGCTGCTGGAGAGGAATGGAGCTTTCATCTTTTGGCTGCCAGCCATGAGCAGCCATTGTGGGAGAGCTGCCTTGCAGGTTCAGCCCTCAGGTTCCTAGAGCAAGGCCAGTTCTGGTGCACCTGATAAGCAGGAAGCCACTTCTGGAGAGATCTGAGCAACACACACTTTCC